CTATTCTTGTAAATCTTATGAATTTTATTTGTAAGGGTTGGGCTTGGAGAGGCTTGTGGAAAGAATACTTAGTGTTGAGCTTGGAAAGGCTTTTAGAAAGAGTACTTGGGATTAAGGCTAGAGAGGCTTGTGGAAGTAATACTTGGAATTAAGCCTAGAGAAGCTTGTTGAAAGAATACTTGGGTTTGAGTCTGAATAGACTTGTTGAAAGAATACTTGGTGTTGAGCCAAAAGTGGCTTGTGAAAGAATACATGTATCTTATACAAGATCATGGAATTCAATCTAGTTTGATTGAGAATTGGACATAGTTTGTGATAGAGACAAACTAGTATAAAAATACTTGTGCCTCTTTGTTTGTTGCTTTCCACTACTTCATTTGATCACCTCCAATGTTTTGTCTAATTACTTTTTCACTACAAAAGTGTGATTTTTTTTATATACATTATTTAGCCCCCTTCTAGTGTGAGTTTTCGCAACATTTAGATGTCCCAGTTTGGAAGTGAGATGGTGTGTTGATGGACTTTGTTGTAGGTTTGCTTAATATGCTTAAGAAATTTGATTCTTTTTGGGTTATAGTGGATAGACTCACCAAGTTTGTTCACCTTATCTTAATTGATATTAGATATTCCTTGGGGAGATTGATAGTGTAACAGCCCGATTTTCATAGATTGTATGAAGGCCCAAAGCCCAATAAGGGTGATTTAGTAGCCCAAAACGGGTCGTTCCCAAACTGGAACGGTTCGTTCCAAACTACTAAAATTGCCTACAAATCTTAGTTGAGAACGGGTCGTTCCCAATTGGAACGGGGCGTTCTAAACGACCAAAAAGGCTTGTAACCCTAGTTGGGAACGGGCCGTTCTATTTTAAGAACGGGCCGTTCCAAACATGGACGTTATGGGCTAAATTGTAACCCCAGAATGGGTCGTTCTGGTAATAGAACGGGCCGTTTTGGATGTAAAATTTTATACATGACGAATGAGCCAGGACGGGTCGTTCTGGATTTGAAACGGGCCGTTCTGGGCACTCTTGATGCTTATAAATAACATGCTCTAGCATTCCCAAATGCACACTTTTTAGTTCTGACTTCTTTCAGTTCTGACGTCTTTTCCTTCTACATTCTCTGAAGATCGAGGGAAACTCAGAGGAGGAGACCAACCAGATCCTACCTTAGTTTCATCTATTGCTTATCGAGGTACGGGAAAAAGGGAGATTTATGTGTAGAGTTACATGAGGGAATGGGTGGAGAAGAGTTCCTGTGGAATTTTTAATAATTTTATAATTTTTTCTATTTGGAGAATTATTGGTAATGAGATTCTGTATGTGCTTAAGATTAGGAATATGTAAATAATTTGTAAAAATGATGATCCGGGAGAGAGAACGAAATTGTAGAAAAGTGTCTATGAGTTAGGTTTTTGGAAAAATTGGGGGTTTTACTGTTTAAGTTAAGATTATATTAAATTGGTAATTCAGTTGAGTATTATATTAATTTATAAATGTTATTGTTATATTATATGATAAAAAATTAATGATCTAGATGTGGATTCATGGTGAATTGCTTGAGGGATATGTGAACCATTATTTTGTGTGGACTTATCTATATTGTGTATGTGATGCAAAATTGACTTATGGACTATGGTGTGATGTCTTAGAACAAATGTATACATATTGTATCTACCGTTTTAGTATTGAATTAATAGCATGATGTGGCAAATGGTATGTTATGGCTTAATTTTTCAATTAATTATGATGTGAGTATGTTGGCATGAAATGAGATGTTGTATTGAATATGAATGTGATATGATTATGGTTCCTCACACTAATGACCAGGGACGGCACAACCCTTGGGTAAGTGATGCTACAAGGACATCATGACCTTGGCATAGTGTGGGATGTGTGAGGCAATTAACACGTATCACTTATGTCAGATGTGGCGTAGCCTTGGCATAGTGTTAATTGTAAGATTTGTGTAGATTATGAATGTGAATATGATTATGGTTCCTCACACTAATGACCAGGGATGACACGACTCTTGGGTAAGTGATGCTACAAGGACGGCGTGACCTTGGCATAGTGTGGGATGTGTGAGGCAATTAACACGTATCACTTATGTCAAATGTGGCGTAGCCTTGGCATAGTGTCAATTGTAAGATTTGTGTGGATTATGAATGTGAATATGATTGTGGTTCCTCACACTAATGACTAGGGATGGCACGACCCTTGGGTAAGTGATGCTATAAGGACGGCGTGACCTTGGCATAATGTGGGATGTCTGAGGCAATTAAAACGTATCACTTATGTCAGATGTGGCGTGGTCTTGTCATAGTGTTAATTGCAAGATTTATGATGGATTGGTGTAATTGTGAATTGTGATGTGAAGCTGATGCATGATTGATAGAATTAGAACATATAGAGAGGGTTGTAAATATTTCATTAAGTGATGAGTTATGATGAGATTATGTTGTATTTTTCCTTGTGTTCTTTACATATAGATATTTTCTTTTCTCACCGTACAATTTGTGGATGTTTTAGGTGAGGAAGATCCAACTATGAGTGGCATCTAGAATGCCAATAGTTGAATTGTGGGTATGCTCTGATATTGTGACATCGGGGTAGAGAATTTCTAGGACATGGATTTTTATATGGATTTGGAGTTGTATTTATTATTTTGAAAATAATTTGTAAACTCTTAGGTTTTATTTTTCAAGTTTTATTTTCAATTATTTTTGGATATTGAAGAACAGTTATGAAAGTTTTATGTGAACCTTTTTACCAACATTGAAAAAAAATTTATTCATTAGTTTTATTTACATTATTACAAGATATGTGTTGGGGTATTAAGGGTGTCACAAATAGAGTTGTACATCTGTGAGGTAGTGAGGTTATATGGGTTTTCCTACTAGTATAGTTTTCGATAGGGAACTGAGGAGAGTACGACTTACGAATTACAGAGCCAAATGTGAGAATACCCGATGTTGTTCTTAGTAGGTAAATTTCGGGGATAAAATTTCTTAAAGGGGAAAAAATTTTAACATCCCAGATGATGGAGGCCTATGGACAAAGGCCCAACTACTAGGGTCATGGCTAAGAGGATGCATGAAGAATGGGCCATCTCTAAAGACAAGCCCATAGTTCTTTTTAGTTGGGCTATATCTTAAGCTCATGTAGTGTAGGTTTGGGCCCATTGGGCTTGTATTTTGTTGTGAACCTTGTATTTTGGCCAAGTTGAGTAGGAATTTCATTTCTTTGTAATTTAGAATTTAGCTTTATAGGAAGTGTCATTTGCATCTCAATTTAAATGTGATTAGCATTATATTTAAAGTGAATCTCGGTCACACCATGTGCATGAAGCACATGCACCGAAATTCACTTTCAAATACATGCCAAATTACATCTAAATTAAGTAGCACATGGGGGAGGGACGGTTGGCTCCAAAATTTGAATTCAAACATTCAAATTTTGGCGCCTAAGGTTTAATTAACCATACCATGATTTAATTAAACCTTAGGTTAAGCCTAGCTTCCCTAGCACACTTCCTAAGTATATATAAACACTTTGGCTATGTATGCGTGATACTTTTGGTATTAATGAGATTCAATTTTCTGAATTTGACTCTCCCTCCGAAAGTCCTCTAAGGAGAATTCTCTCCACTTGATTCCTTGAGACTTCCTCTTTGGAGCCTTGGATCATCCAAGTTCTAATCCGGAAGCTTAGTGCAACTTGACTCAACATTGACTCTTCAAACCTTGATTTATCCTTGAAGCTTCTCAAGGATTTTGTTAGAAGAGTTTTCAAAAAAACTAATCATGAAGCTTGAAGAATTCGGAGCTTCATCACCATATTTTCTACTAATTAATAGTTTAATTATTATTTACTTTTATATTTATTGGGATTATTTTCTTATAATTGTTTTAATTTTTTTGTAAAAAGGTAGATATGCTAAGGCATCGCTATGTGAAAATGAGATCCTAACTAGGTTAGCACCTCAATTCACATCAATCATCCGCAACTAGGGATGGCAACGGGGCGAGTCGGGTACGGGTTTCATGATACCCGTCCCCGTCCCTGCGAGTTAAACTCATCCTCGTCCTCGTCCCCAGAGGTGGATCTTCTTTGGGACAGGGGGGAGCCACGGCTCCCCCAAATTTTTCTAAAAAAAAATTATATATACTTAATATTATATTTATATAATTATTTTATAAAATAATTAGTGAATGATAATAAATTTTTGAGATTTTATTATCATGTATATTCAATTTGAATAAAAAAAATGAGGAATATTTTTTTAATTAATAAAAATTATAATTTATATATAAAAATATTAATTTAGCACCTCCAAAATTTTAATCTAAGTTCCGCCACTACCCGTCCCCATACCCATCGGGTATAGATTTTCATCCACATCCCTGTCCCCGTCAGGTATCGGATATACCCGTACCCGTCAATTTTTTTTATTTTTTATTTTTTGTAAAAAAATGATATTTTTAAATTATTTTTTCATTATATTATAATTATAATTAAGTTATTTCTTTATCTCATATTATAATAAATAATCACACATAAAAAAATATTAAATTTTTTTAATATAATTAAATTAAAGGTGAATATTCAATTAAAAATAAGAACGAGGACGGGTACGGGTACGGGTACGGGACGGGTAAGTACATACTCATACCCGATTTAATATATCGAGTTTTACCCGTACCCTTACCCGTACCCGGTCAAACCGGGTATTCCCCATCAAAGTCGGGACAGGTTCAGATATTACCCGCGAGTACGAGTATATGTGTCATCCCTATCTGCAGCATATCTAAATGCACTAAAAAATAAAAGAAAGTAAAAGTACAAGTGGAGGGAACAAACCAAAACCCACCAAAACAAAATACAGTACAAAGAAAGAAAAACAAAATTATGAAAGCAATGCCAGACCATTGGCATACTCCAAACCATGTCAATTTAGCTACATACAATCAACATGATTATCCAAGATTACCAAATGTGTTTAAGAGTTTTTGACATATCTCGCAGCCTTTGCTATAACTATAGCGCCCCTTTGAAACTCCTCATAAGGTATCCTTTCCAAAGGAGGAGAACCAAAATTTGGATCCGAAGCTATAGTACTCCTTTTCCTAGAGGCAGACACATCACTCCTCCTAGGTGTATTGTCAACCATTGCTGCATTCTTTTTGAGACCGGATTCAGCTGCACCTGCCGAATTTGTTACTGCATTCTTCGTGCCTTTTTTGGAGGCAGCTGCTCCACTTCTAGTTAGGATTTTGTGACCGGTGGCTGCTGCACTTCCAACATCTGAGTCTGCTGTTGTGTCCCTTGCAAGGTGAGTCCTTGCATCAACTTTAACCAATGCCTTTGAGGAGGTATCATTAAGTTCCTCAGGGTCAGTTTCATATTCTGAATCAGAGTCCGAATCTGAATCTGAATCTGCATCATCCACAGATTTTTGAGACGTAGCTGGCTTTAGCTGCCAGTCCTTGCATCAACCATGCTCCCCTTTTTATGACCACCATTGGCTGTCCCAACCTTGCTTCCCACATCAGAATTTCTGCTTGAAATTTCTCGGTGAGATCAGCTGCACCAGCTTGCACTGTTGTTGCTGCATTCCTCTTGCTAGACACAACTGAAACCGTATCTGCTGCTCCCTTTTTCTGCACCTTAATTGCACCAATTGCATCATCATTATCATCCGAACAAGACTGGCTTTGATCAGAAGAGATATCTTCCAGAGATGGCATTCCTTCAAGTGAATTATCACCCCTACGGTTGTCCATATTTGTTGGCACATGAGCTGCCAAAACAAGCTGTTTGCCCCCAGCTGTTGCAGCAGAATTTGTAGCAATAACCGCAGATTAGCTGCACATAAACCAAATTAACTACAAGCTGGTTAAGCTGGTTTAGCTACTGCATGTGTTGACTTGAGGTGCTAGCTAGCTGATCCTGGAGCAACTGCGTATTTGCCAATTCTTGTCAACGAGAATGCATCATTTTTTGTTCCACCGTCCTTAGTACTTGGTGCAGCAGCTGAGTCACCTACATGATGATCAGCATTGGTGTGATCATCAACGCAAGTTATTTCCAAGTCTGGTCCCGAGAATGCATCATTTTTTGTTCCACCGTCCTTAGTACTTGGTACAGCAGCTGAGTCACCTACATGATGATCAGCATTGGCGTGATCATCCACCTGAGTGACATTCATTGTTTTATCACCCGCTGCAGATTTTTTGCTTGGTTCTTCATTAGCCGGATTTGGATTCCTCCAAGCTTCACCTGCAGGTTTTTGAGTGTTACATGAAAGATTATCATGTCCAATGCATTGACATAATGAACAATATGCAGGTATCCTATCAAAATCTAGAGTCACATAATAGGCAAATCCTTCCCTCTCAACCAGCAAATGATCCGGAATGGATTCAGCAAGATTAACTTCTACTAACACTCGTGCAAAGTGTCCATATGATCTTTGTACCGTGGCTTGGTCTATTGCAGAATTTTTGAAATCTATAGTTGTAGAGATTGAATTCAAAGAGGTTATATGTTGAGAATTGGAGTTTTGAGTGTCTTTGATGAAAGATCGAAGTGTTGGTGATTTCTTGAGTTTTGATACTTGCATGTTGACCTTTTTATGATTTGGGTTGCATGTGGGTTTTATTTCAGTTTGAAGTCTTTTGTGTGGAATATGTGAATAGTTTTGGTTTAGGATTGTAGTGGGAAGCTTGGATGTGAGTTTGGGGTGGAAAAGAGTGAGTTTGGAAGTGTTTTAAGGTATTTTTGCGGTCTTGGACTTTGGTGCACTCTTTTGTTGTCTGGTGCAGGGGATGTTTTCGCTGCAGTTTTGTCGCGCCATTATGAGTGCTATATTGACAGAATTAGTTTTTGTGGTAAGCATGAAAGTTGTAGCCTTGAATGTTATATTTCCAATGGCACTGGAATCATGTAAAACGGAGGTCTAGAACTCCAGTTATGGCTATTTTAGTGAACAAAGTTCTAGTTGTAAGCGTTGAACATATCTGCTGCGGTTTTTGAAATTTTTTGCTAAGAAGATGATCTTTTTAGAATTTCATATCTGCATAACATTTGTAGCTTATTCTCTTAGCTTTATTTTGAGATAGTTTTGAGATTATTTGGATGACTACAACTCTCTGTGTATTGTTATCTTTGACAGTTATTGAAGGGAGATGTATGATGTCATGATGTTTTTGAGTTATTAGGTAATGCAAGGATAAAAACTGATTTTGTTATGATGTTCTGAGGTGTTATCATGTGGATTGAAAGGTTGTTTAGGATTTTACAATGCTATGTGGTAAAGTTGGTTCATGTACATGTTAAATGGTGTAAATGGTGATTGATTCATATATGCTTAGGGATGGTATATATATGAATGTTTAAACAGATATTCTAATATGATTTGATATGCATGTATGTTGATATGAGGATAAATGACCTTATAGATCAATTAGTGGATGTTTATGTGTTTAGTAAGATTGACATTAGGGTGTGATATCATTAGATTGGAGTTGAGTGATGGAGACCTCCCTTCCATGGTTGAGAATGGCGTCTTGAAGAGGGTCACCTTGCCCGTGATCTAGGCTCACCAAAGGTTAGTGAATGGAATGTTTAAGGTGGACAAAGGATGATAGGCGTGAGATAGTGAAGGGTGGCGGAAGTGTATGGTGCTCAAAGGTGGTTGGCTCACTCCAAGTGTAGGTGGAGGCCACTCTAGGGTTTCACTCTCCAAGGGTGGAGAATGAAGGTGGTTAGCTGAAGTTAACCTATGGACTAAGGATAGGATTTGAGGCAAAGAAATGCTCTCTCAAATTCATATAATCCAAAGTATTTACATGATGCATAGCCTAGGGTATTTATAGGAGTGGGAAGCATCTAGGGTTGCATTTGGAGAATGCATGGCTGAAATTCACAAGCCAAATGCACACCAAATGAAATGCAAATTAACCCTAGATGCAACTTGGTGGCCAAGGATGAAATCTTTGGGTTTAGTTAGGCTACACCTAGGTGCATGATAAGACCATGCAACATTTGCCCTCCACTTGGGCCTAAGCCTTTCTAAAACCAAAAATAGGTCCAAGAACACCAAAAAATGTGTCACCTCCTAATTTAAAACCCTAGCCCAAAATTAAAAGCCTAATCATCTAGAGCACCTCATAATACAAGGGTAAAATGGGAAATACAAAATAAAATAAATCCTATGACTAAGATACCCCAAAATACAAGGGTAAAATGGGAAATACAAAAGAAAATAAATTCTATGACTAAAATACCCCAAAGTACAAGGGTAAAATTGGAATAAAGCAATAAAATTCTATACTACTCAAATTGGGCCTAGGAGATGGATCCATACATGGTATCTCTCCATTCTCCTAGCCATGAACCATGTGATGGGTCTCACATGAAGTACCAAGGATGATCCTCTATCATCCCCTCCTTCTTGAGAAGGATTTGACTTCAAATCTTTAAGCTCTTCCATTCCATTGATCCTTCAAAAAGATGTGAAACCACAATTAGGGAAGTAAAATACAAAAACTTAGCTATACAATCCTTAAGTACACAATTTGTTGAATGAAAGTGTTAGGGTCATTGAGGAAGCCAAAAGGCATAACCATATAAGAAAATTTTCAAAAGTTGTGGTGACCCCATGTAATTCATTCATCAAATCGTCTATCTTAGGGATTGGGTGCCTAGACTTTATTGATGGCTTTCTAAATTGGTGCACATCCTCTATTGCCATCTTTCTTTGGCACCAAAAGAATGAGGATGGCACAAGGGTTAAGGTTCTCTTGAACCTAGCCCTTTTTCTTCAAAGGAAAAATTCTTTTTTTCTTTTCTTTTCTTTTTGTTTTTGTTTTTGCTTTTCTCCTCCTCATCTTTCTTAGCTTTTAATTTGAGTTGGTCCTCATTCACTTGAGAAGGTGATAGAGGACACCACACAAATTTCTTTCCCAAGTGTTGGAAACTTATTTTATTGGTGAG